TGGCCTGGTTTGGGAACCACTTCAATGTATGAAGACAAGCATTGCTGAAGTCAGCGCGGAATAGCCCTCTTGGCTGGCTTTGGGGTTGCGAGAGAATCGTCAGAAACGTCTCAGATTCTCCTTTCTCCGAATGTACGCCAGACCTCACATTGCAATGCCAACTCACCACGTTCTGAGGGAGATAGCCAGGGCCACGATACCTCATCCACCATATAGCATTGGCATCGCTCTATCGGACTATCGCCTCCCCTGCGCTTTGAATAAGCATCTGCCAGAGAAGAAAGTTAAAGATTGCGGTCACCCCAAAAACGACTTCTCCAATTCTTCAACCCTCAGTTTCCTTCATTCTGGGGTGGAAGCTTCCAAACGCCCACTAGTAAATGCACGTATATCAGTGACCATGATGGTGGTTATGCTATTAGTCAGTTGTTTCCCAGAAGAGATAAAACTTGAATAAACAAAAGTGTCGAAATTGCGACAGTAAAGCATACGACAACCAATAATTTGAATCTCGGTTTGTAGACGGTTAAGGGTCTGTTAGTCTTTTTTTCTAGGCCAAAGAACTGAAGTGCAGTGCGAATTAACCCCCTCCGAACAGTAATGGTGATGAGGGCTGATGTATCTGTGTGAGGAGCGATGAGGAACCAACAAGACCTAGGGGTAGTGGTACGGAGTCTCGACAAGACCCCGTACAACCACCCCAGAGAGTGGTCTAAAAATTCTCAAGAGCTGTCCAACACGGTCGTTGAGCCTGCTTCCACGCCTGAGAGGCCAGCAGCGGTTTCGCGCTTGTTTGGCTAAACGTCGACTACCCTCAGCAACTCCTAATAAGGTCTCATATGCACACGGATGGCTCTAAACAATTAGATAAGACTTAGTTCTGACCGAAAATTATGTCTCCATACACTTTAAATAAAATGGATATGAAACTTGCTTATTGTTATGAAGAAAGTGGTGTGAGAAAATTCACGTTTACCCCAATCTAAGTCATATACTGAGCCAGGGTCGGTGTTGTGGCAACGTGTGCTGGGTACATGCGAACTTCGGGGACTCGAATCCGGGTCCGTGGGTCATGTGTGCCAACCAGGCCTGCCATCACCTCGGATCGGTTAATTGGTCGAGTCTTGTCTAGGAGGCTAAAAACCTGACTTGTACATCGGCTGGCCCCCGCAAGTCACTGTATGGGCTAAATCTCATTCAAGTGCCACTATGAATGTTCAAATTGAAGTAGAATGCGTGCTGAATCCCAAAAAGGGCTTGGTCAACGACGAATGCTCTATCCTTTATCCTTTTATCTAGTTGCTTTTCAATCGTTTCTGGTCAGTCCCGGTTCCCCATTTTTGACGCCGCGAGCAAGACCCACTATACTTCTTATTTTTAATCTGAATTCTTCACTGAGGCAGCCTCATCAAGATGAAATGCTAATGGAACTGACATTCGGCCCATTCCAGAGCACATCTTTAGGCAGTCATTATGCGTACCACCAACGCATGTTGAGCGTTACAGTATGTCTGCTATCTTCTTACAATTAGTATAAAAATTTTCATGTGATCTCGACATTCGTTTTCTCCCATGTGGGCTTTCTTGGTATGAAATGAACAGTCTTTAACTTATCGCGGAAACTCCACACTTAGTTTGTTATTATGCTTTTTCGCCATTCCCAGAGATGTAGGGAAACCCCATCATCGTTTTGACCCCAAATCCTGGACAGGGCTAGAAAAGTGCTAATAAAACGCGCCAACATCCTGGCTGATGATGATTGGACTTGATTGCAGTTGTCGGCACACAAGGGGGGATGGTTGATGCTGAGGGTCCAGGGCGTCAGCCTGTGTCCATAAATTCCGCCAACTTCCCCTTTAGAAAGCTCAAAAGGAAGGGTAATGTCAGATACTCAATTTTCGAAGTTATTATTGTCAAATGTTACCAAAAACGAACCCTCTCTCCTCCAATTTCTAGAATTCTGATTCCTCTTCCAACTATCGCTCATCAACCTCAATTTAGACTTCCCTCCAAAAATCACAAACACTTCCATGTGATCGGCTCGTCGGAAGATTGACCCTGGTTCGGTGGCCAGGCATGGCCTAGTAGGTTCGCAGATATAATGACAGCTCTGAGGAACTTAATGCATAGATAACATTGTGGGCATGGCCAGCCTACAGCTCCGAGAGGTAACTATAGAGGATGGAAAAGATCTAGGCTGAAGGGAAAGGTCCAGAAAGCGGTTGGACAATTCAGTGATTGTTCGTAAAGAGTTGTGGGACGCCAAAGTGCCCAAGCGTCTTCAAATGCTTATTGTATCTTTTTTCTCCTGACCGCTACACATTGGATAATTCTTGTGATAAGGGGTTCTGGAAATGGCAAAGATGTTAATTGCGAAGGTTCTATCATTCTCGATGATAATTGGGAGGATGGTTGTTGCATGGCATCGCGAGAACAGGCTATTATTAACCAGTTGCTGGAAGGGTGGAGAGACAGGCGGCCCAGTGTCCGATGAAATTATAAGGGACGAGATAAAAAGAAGGTAAAAGATGAGGAAATAGACTGGCTTAGAGGATAAAAAGTCCAATGCCAAGCCTTTTATACCCCGCCATTTATTGCTCGAGGGAATAATTCAATACTGACTCGAACCATGCTTCCTGTTCCTTCCTGGCAGCGATTACGATAGGTTCGAGAAGGGTTCAGAGGAGAAGTGTGGCGCTGCAGAAGTACGCAAGATGGCGAAAAAAGCAGAGAAATCCGTCATGAAAACGCGGATTGGAACCCCTTTTGGCCTTGACTTTCACTTATGAGCAGGTAATAGCTTCAGAAAGCCGACCTATGAACGAGATCATCGCAACGTATTTGAGATCTGACATCTATTCTGCTATTCCTCAAAGGCAGAATCCAGTACTGGAGCCAGAACTCCACTGGACAACGCTAGTTTTGAGACCAAACTCCTCTTGATACCTGAATTGTTAGTAAGTGATTGACGACGTTCCTTGCGCGAACAACTATCCAGCTTCCGTGATGCCTGAATTGTTAGAATACTGTCTGTGAGGCGTGAAAACCCGAGATCATCTTTTTGCATGTGGCAAAATGTTCATGCTCACCGCCTTTCTCGTGTCTAAAATGCTCTTGAGTAGACGTAATTGATGCTTTTGAATAGATATAGTCAGTCTCACGGAGAGACCGACTGATGATCAACTCTCCTTCTTTCCAGCGCTAATCCTGCAATCTCGCAAAGTAAACTGTTCTGGTTAGGCTTTCCAGACACGGTGTTGTTGGTTGACAATTTGTATAACCCATTTCACTTTAAATTATGGTGTCCAAAGTCCCGAGATTGTTCTGGAGCCCAAGCTTCATCCGTTGCTGTAAAGATATCGTGCATTTTTCTCTGTCCATGATGTGCTGACCAACTGAGTACTCGTAGCAAATCAGGCTCAAGGGTACACGACAGGGAAAGCGCCCGCTGCGCGGCGAGAAGGCAGAGACGCAGGCGCGACTGCGGACGAGTTGTAGCGCGTGTTGTGTCGCGCTTTGTCTCGTCCGCTGACCCGTCTGCGTCTCCCCCTCCCCCCCCCCTCCCCACTCGACGAGCCTCTTTCGTGTAACCTAGGCCGAAAAGGATGCCAACCTTACTGCTACGCGAAAACCAATTTTTCTGGGATTCTTCGGCATTTGTCCAAGTCTTTTACAATGAAATCTCTTTAGCCCTTCTCTGCCATTGAACGATCGGATTGAAAGGAGCCCCCGGGATGGCACAGTCCTGTCGCAATCAGTTTTCGTTTTTCGTAACAACATATGTACTTCAAAGCTTGTTTTGTTTGTTAACTGCTGTTTTTGGCCGCAGTTCGCCTTGCGAATGTTTCACAAGAATGCTGGGTTGTGAACAAAACTTTCGCCCCAGGCGGGACTAGAACCCGCACCTCTGCTTTCGGGAATGAAATGGTGCCCCGGTAGCGTAACTGGTAGCGCACTTGCCCGGAAAGCGAGAGGTGCGGGTTCTAGTCCCGCCTGGGGCGAAAGTTTTGTTCACAACCCAGCATTCTTGTGAAAATCTTCAAAGCAATTCTAATACCATGTCTGTCTGTCTAATCTTTCACGGGTTGGATAAACAGCTTCCCCATTCAGATCTGATGAAGTTTCCTTGCGCGAACAAATACCCAGTTTCCTTCACTACCGTAGTCAAACCAATAATCGGACTTTCCTTCTTCTGGTCCCAGTTAATAAATCAGCGTCCAGAAGAGCTTCTCATGGAAAAAGCGCGAACTGCTCACTCATCAAAGGCGGTCTAGGATTAATACGAATAGCCTCAGCTGAAACTCAGTCTAAAGTCTCCCCTTGTTCTCATTTATCAGATGAAATCTACTTCTGATGAAGGAGAACACAACGGAGCCCTCACAGTGGTTTTCTGATGTTTTATGGGCCGCAGAATTGCGAAGGTGATGAACTGCTTAAAAGCCGGTTCATGTCTTTATGAAGCCTCTTAGCTCAAGCTCAAGCTTTGAGGACTTGGTCCCTTTATTACTAACTCGTTTCTCTTGTATAATAACAAACGCATTACTTTGAAAACTTCCTTGGACGTTGACTATTATTTATTGAACATTTCCATATTTTAGAGCGATAGGGTCAAATTAAAGACCATGCTGTTACTTCACGAGAATTCTTCCGTGAGAGCAATTGAGCCTTGGAATCTGTCTGCACGTATCGCTCGTCTTGTTTTTGGAAAATATTGGCCAATTCTGACATCCCGGCAGATATCCCAACGGGCAATCTGCCTCGCGCTCTTATTGTCTCCCATCTCTGCATTTGATTCCTTCATTGACGAAGTCGTTGTCGTCTCTTCGCTGTTACCGTTAAGCAGTTCTTCAGACAAACGCCCTTCATTATCCACTTCAAAGGGCAGCTATTTTCGGACTGAGCACCACAAGACCCGCTAATCACCCGAGGGTGATGCTTTGGAGCAACCGTATTCTGCATTCTTCTCGGGAACCACAAGATTAACCATGAATCGGTATAAAATGGTGTCACCGGCACCACCACCCGAAGCACACATAGCCCATCTGATGGGCGAACCAAGTGAGCACTCGTTGAAAATTTTATTTATTATTTCTGAAAAAATCTAACCATATCATATGTTAGCATATTTATCAATTTGTCAGGGAATTGGTGTAGAATCCAATTAGAGTTTTTGTGTTATGCATTTTTTCAGTGATTATTTATTTCCTTCTTTAATTATTCCATGCTCCCTAGAGAAAATATGGAGCAAGCGCATCGATTTTCCAAGTTAGCCAGTAACCAATAATGGTTATTTACTGCTTAAATCTACCGAAAAATAAACAAATTAAAAACAAATAACGCTCAAATAACGCCCCTGTGAGAGGGGGAAGGACCAGGGGAAAATTGTAACTACATAGTTCATATCATGAGAAAGATGGCACACTTTTCGCCTGAGAAGCGAATTCTCACTGACGGTAACTACCTTTTGGCTCAATAATTTTGCCGATCCCATCGACCGGTATCGGCCTGTTGACTGTTTTTCAGTTTATTTGTCTGCACGCAAAATGTCCTCTCCCTATTAGTGGGTTTGATAAGGGAGGTGATAGGAGAAATCAATCCCCAACAAAACCAAGAGCAAACCGACACGTGAATCGGCTAGTTCTGATAGTGGTGTCATTATGGATAAGACACCCTTCAGCAAACTAAACTCACACAGAACTGTCTCTGTCACTTCCATGGGAGCGTGCCCGGCACGTGGGTACTGTCCTTACCGTGTACCCTTAGCACTTAAAACCAGTGTGAGATATGTGCGTGTCACGGAATTGTCCCTGCCTACACGACCTCTCCCATCTAGCTGGGGTTTGGCTCAAGGCCCGTCCTTGTAACAGACTCCACCTCCATCTTACCTATGAATTTACCCTAAACCATACTTCACTTTCCCAACAAGGTTATCGAATGAGGGAGAGGGAAAATGCTGTGCTGTGCTACAGTTGAATGCTGAACTATTCCAGAATTCCTAAATTACTATAAAACTTGCAAAGTTTCCATGAAATTTCCCAAAATACTTCTGAAACATTTTCAGAGATTTCTGGACTCTAACTGAGCCCTGCCTAGCCCTTTCCAAATTTCATCAAAAGCGATTCCCCCTCCCATAGCAAAATAGGAATCTCACCGTTTCGCGCGCAGGGAAATCCCTGACTTGGGCTCAACCTCCTTATACGGTTAGATAGTATGTAGGTTGGTAGCAAAAGGATCGCGATGTATAAAAGGGTTCATGATTTCTGCCTTTTTCATGCCCATGATCGTTCATCTTCGTTATTTCGGGAAAACCTATAATGAACAATTTTCCTTCTTACGTACTCCTTGCACCTTTATTGGGCTAATGCTTGGGACTTATAATGATAGTTCAGCAAATAAAAGTAGCGCAATCTTCAGTTTCCAAAAGAACTTACTTAACACAGAAAATGGTTAACCTAATGAATTCAATTTAAAAACGAAGCCCAGTGAGCGAAATGAAATGAAGTGCTCTGGAACTTACCAGGCGCCTCTGTAGAGTGCATAGGAAGGCATTTGGAATTAGGTCATTCCAATAAAAATTCATTTTTAGAAGGATCAGCATCGAATCGATACTTTGACGATATAATACCGTTGGGTGAAAGTGAGGTGCGAGATGCGCTACTGCATGAAGTGAAAAGGCATCGATATTGGAAGTCGTCCGCCTTCAAGAAGATGCAGTTTGAACGACTGTGAGGAGTGAAGCTCAGGCTTGGCTAGTGTTAAGGAGGATTGAATTCAACCAAAAATCAATCATGTCTTGAGAGGTTCTGCTTGCAGTACGTGCTCGAATCGCATTCACCGAAGCACGGTCGACATCAGAAGCGGCCGAGGCCGTCAACCCTGGACAGCTACTCGATCATGCCACCACTTCCTTTACGAACCCATGGGATTTCGAGTGTGTTGCTCCAGCCATCGAGGATGTTTACTGACCAGGCCAGTCTTATAATTATTCTTGCATTGTTTATATAATTCATATGGGATAGGGGTCACTTGAAGGGGACAAAATGCTTGGTTAAGTGCCTATAATGTTTCTACCTATTCAGCCATCCATTCAAGATCTTGATTAAGGGTTCAGGAGGAGCTCTTTTGAAACCCTTATGGGGAATTCGTGTCGGAATAGCCTAGACGGCAATGAAGACCATCTAATAGGCGTCGACGTTTCAGGTTCGAGTTCTGGAAATGCCCGGCAGCAGTACGATAAACCCGTGCTCTGTCTGCAATTCCGAAGGCACTTATCATTGTTTTCATTGCCGAGGCTTAGGTACGGATAAGTGCAACTTTTGCAGGTACGATCATCTACCAGTTTTTTTATTCATGCTTTCTTCATGCAAAATTGAAGGGGCGCATGCTCCCTCCCTAATTGACTGACAGTCCATTAGGCTCCAGAAGGGAGCTTTTCGCTAACTACTCCAACGCTTGGGAATGCCCTTTTTCCGTGCTTCTCTGTGAATGTGTCCTTATCATTCAAGAAGAAAAGCATGAAGATAGCAGAGGACAGGAAAAGCCAGCGCCTCAAAAAGGAGGTTTGGAGGTCAAAAAGGAACTCACCAAAGCCCAAACTTCGCATGCAGCGCGACTGCTAGAGCGCTGCGCCGGCAGCATGCTAGACAAAGCTTTAGCGCCCTTACCGCGCGCTTGCGAGTCGCTGCAGTTTCGGCTCGAAGATCCCCTTTCTCACGCTAGGAGTATACCACTTGGCACCTAATCCTGACCAGTAGCTTCAAGGAATTGGTAAATTCGCAAGATATCCTTCCTGTTATCAATAGGAGAAAAAAGAAAGCTTTCGGTGTTGATCAATCCCCTTTCGGGATGCGCTCCGCATTCTACTTCCTTCACACTCGTAGTGGCTTTGAATGCTGTATGTCCCATACAATGACTTCAGTGGGCTATTCGATTAACAAGTCGGTATTTCTATCCTCCCAGACAAATCTGGTCCCATTTGACCGACCCGGTGGGATTGAAGCATAGTTGGTTCGGCCGAAGTTCGATCCAAGATTTGACCTTGGGCCGTGCGCGTAGAAAGTGGGGTCACTTGTCACTACACCATCACCGCTCCATCAGTAAAATAAGCAAGGAAAAGGTTGAAAATCAATATAATGTATCGCAAAATTTATTTTTCATGTCTCAAGTCCATTATTTGGAGCATGGAGCG